CTTCTCCACTCGCGGACCGCCTTCACTGAAGGCAGCCCCGCTCTCCCGTTTCTCCTCTCTCAGCGAGCCTCGGAGAGGGAAACAGTGGAGTCAGGGAATAAGCAACCGGGTTGACCGATCTCATGCCGGCACTGTGCCTGCGTGCTCTCTCTCCCCGTTGCACTCGGATCCGCCACAGAAGGGCAGTGAGCTGCGCGCTTACTGAGACAGAATGCTCCCTCAGAGCATGAGTCTCGCTCTTCTCCACTCGCGGACTGCCTTTCAATGAAGGCAGCCCCGCTCTCCCGTTTCTCCTCTCTCAGCAAGCATCGGAGAGAGAAACGGCGAAGCCTGGGAACTAAGCAAAAGGGTCTGAGCGATCTCACGCCGACACAGAGCCTGCGTACTCGCTGTCCCCGCTGCGCTTCGATCCGTGTCTCACACGTAAGGATCAGCGTCCCACTTTACATCGAGCGGCTCTATCCTCCTAAGTAGATCGGAGCAGATGCTGCCACTGGCAGCTTCGAATTGTGTGTGACCGCCTTCACTGAAGGCAGCCCCGCTCTCCCGTTTCTCCTCACTCAGCGAGCCTCAGAGAGGGAAACAGTGGAGTCAGGGAATAACCAACCGGGTTGACAGATCTCATGCCGGCACTGTGCCTGCGTGCTCTCTCTCCCCGTTGCACTCGGATCCGCCGCAGAAGGGCAGTGAGCTGATGTGTGTCACTATGACTGTGCTCACAGACGCAGGTTGCTTTTACCACGAAAGCAGTCTGCCCCTGTTCGTTCGCGGAAGGCGGCCCCGCCTCCCCGCTCTCATGTTTCTCTCCTCCCAGTTACCTCGGAGGAAGCAACGGCGAGCTCACGGGTTGAGCGATCAGGTAGAGCAATTTCATGCTGACACCTCTCCTCCCAGTTACCTTGGAGGAAGCAACGGCGAGCTCGCGGGTTGAGCGATCAGGCAGAGCAATTTCATGCCGACACACATCAGGCGTGCTTAATCTGCCAGTGTGTGTTACACGTGAGAATCAGCGCTCCTCATTTCACGAGCAGCTTAATCCTCCTAGGCAGAGCAAAGCAAAACGCTGGCAGCTTCGCATTTGTGTGTGTGTCGCTGAGCCCCGCCTCCCCCGCTCTTGTGTTTCTCTCCTCCCAGTTACTCGGGGGTAGAAATGACAAACTCGCAAGTATGAACGATCAGGCTTGAGTGATTTAATGCTGGCAAAGCCCCCGCGTTCATAACTCTCCACGCAGCTCTTTGATCTGCCAGTGTGTTTACACGTGGGGATCGGCGCCCCTCATTGTCGAGCGGCTCAATCCGCTCTTACTACGAGAGTTCATGTCTCGCTCTGCTTTGCTCGCGGCTCACCTTCTTCAATGAAGACGGCCTCGCCCCTACGAGCGGATTTGAGAGAATGCGCGCAGCAGTTTTGATCTGCCAGAGTGTTTACACATAAAGATCATCAAAACTCCTCTTCAAATTGGACATGTCTGGGCCACGCCCACGCTGAGGCTGCGCGCACGGGGGCTGACTGCTCTACCTGAATCACACCCTCATGAAAAGGTGGTTCAGGATGACTATGCTGAAACAAATCCTTGCGCGAATTCGCTCAGGAGACTGGTTCTTTTCGCTGGATGCATACTTTCTGGCCCCCCACACATTTACGAAGTGCATGGACACGGCTCTCTCTCCTCTGAGACAGATGTGAATCCGCATTCTCAACTACCTCGACGACTGGCTCGTTCTGGCCCAGTCAAAGGCAGAATTAATATCACACAGGACCCTCCTCCTCAGCCACCTGGTGTGCCTGGGATTCAGTTGGGTCTGCTTCAGCGCTGGTTGAAACCACGGGTTCCATCCCATGCGTGGAGTCACGGACACCTGCAGATCAGGGTGAGTCAGGCCTGTGTAACAGCCTTGGCCCCCTGGAAGAACTCCCGCTGGATGGAACAGGGCATGGCCATGGGGATGGTTTGCAGAAGGACAGTTGTCACAACAGACGCCTCCAACTCAGGTTGGATGCGTTGGCCCACGATTTGGCCCAACCTCTTTCTTTATGCTTTTCCCCCACAGGTAATCAGGCGAGTAAGGGAACAAAAACACAAGGTTCTCCTGGTGGCCCCCCTTTGGATGAACCAGCTGTGGCTATCAGAGCTAACTCAGCTGTTGATAGCAGTCCCTTGGCCCGTTCCGCTGAGATGGGATCTCCTCTCTCAAGCGAATGGGACAAAATGGCATCCCCGGCCCGAATCCAGTCAGAGTTATATTAAAAATTTGCATTCGTCACTAATCACGCAACGCTGAATGGCTTCCGCGCATGACAGATACCGGAAGTGAGAGAAAAGTGTTTATTACGTTTGTAAATATGGATATTTTTCTTACAAAAACGCATGCATTCACTACAGGAGGCCTTTATTCACCCCCCGGAGCCGTGTGAGGCACGTTTTATCACGAATGCACGCGCTTTATTTGACGACTTGTGGACTGTTCAACTGCAACACCCGCTGACTGCAATGATAGAGCTTGGAATAGCCAGGACAATTTTTAATATAACTCCGACTGGATTCGTCTGAAAGAAGAAAGTCATATACACCTAGGATGCTTCGAGGGTAAGTAAAACACAGTCTAATTTTCATTTTTGGGTGAACTAACCCTTTAAAATTACGATACCTGATAATGATGTGGTTAACATAATTCCACTTGTATGAACGTGAAACTGATGAAAACTTCAAAATTAACTGAGGTTCTCTCTGTATTTGTTTCTGTCAAAGGTTGACCACTGCAATTCCTTGAAAGACAGATACCAGGAAGGTGCCTGATCCCACCTGCATCAAGCCAGGACAGCGGAATTGTTAGAACATAACCTGAAATGCGGGAGATGGGTGCGAAGACACTTGAAGGGGCCATTCACACCTCACAGTTGTACATCACTACACAAATATCTACATAGCCTCCCGGTGTAGCACCAGAACTAAATGTTGCAACACAGGTTGTCATAGATTAGACTCCACCCATCTCCCAGACATGAGCACAGAACACATACCTCCACCATTGCATCATTACCTCATATAGACTATCCAGGCTGAACACTATTATAAAAAACAATGATGGCTTAGATTCCACACGTGTTACTCCACTTAAGATCTATTGTCCATCTTCACGCTAACAGAACCACATAGCTTCACACACATAGGACAGTAGAATTAATCCCATGATGATAGTCTAACAAAGACACACATAACATATTTACAACCCTCTACCAACTCATGGGAAACATAATAAATATGCATGGCTACCGTCACAAATCGATGATGTAAAATTCTGAACGCAGAAGCAAATCTGCCATTAAATTCAAAAGATTAAAATTTTCTGATTGTTATTAGAATGGTTGGCAAACCAGAGGGCCCGCTGTTTTCCCAACGTATCACTAATAAAAGAAACATGATCAAAATCGTTAGGTCTGAAGTACTGGCACTTCAGTCGATCTACTACAAAATTTGCAATTTGACTGTACCATCGAACGTGACCTAGACTGCATGACACACACAAACACACATACACAAACTGTTAAAAATTTTTTGTTGGGGAAATATATAGAGTACAGATAAGCTTAACAGAATTCAAATCAAAGTTCCTCCGAATTTTCCTTATGCAAACAAAAATCTAACCAAGTTATAATTCTTTCTGCAGTTATTAACTATATATACATACATATGTACACACCTGCATACACAATAAACTTAACAATCCTATACATGCACATGCCATCTAAGTATACACTGTACATGCAGACATATGCACATATTTTCTAACATACTATACAGAAATTCCTAAAACAAAACAGGACAACTCTCCACCCACCCGCCCAGCCATTCACCTACCCACCCAACCGCCCGCCCACTCTCGCTCTGTCTGCCTGATACGCACCACATAGGGAGGAATACTAAAATGTAGTCTCTTATTCCTTAGACAGAGCCGTATACGCTCCAAATGTAGTGTATTTGTGAGTTCGTCAAGCCACAGCTGGAAGGTAACAGTTTATTTTCCCAGAATGTTAAAATAAGCTTTTTGGCCGTTAAAAGTCCGTAGGAAAGAAATCGTAGTTGAGACTTGGACAGACAGAGCTCATGTCTTGAAACACCAAACACGATTAAAAACTCATCGCGCTCAATATGTTGCTTAGTAATTTCAGAGATGACATCGAAAATCTTGCACCAAAAGCTTTGAAGACTGGGACATAATGCATAACTGTGAAGCAGGGTCGCATCAGCCGTCCTGCATTTGTCAAATTTTGGAGAAACACCTGGAAATATTCTAGATAATTTTGTTAGAGTAGTGTAGTCTATGCAAGATTTTGAACTGGATGAGGCAGTGTCTGGAGTTTATAGAACATCTATTAATCTCTTCCAAGCTATCCGCCCATAACTCATTGGAAATTTCTGACCCTAATTCTTCCTCCCATAAACTTTTGATTGAAGATGTAGTAGGTAATTGGGAGGCCTGGGGATTATTATAAATGCAGGAAATCATTTTCCCTTTACCAAAATAGTCCTCAAGGCAGGTGTCAAGACATGAAGGGCTAATTGTTGCGAACCTGTTCCTGACTTGCAAGAACCTAAAAAAAATTACTTCTATGAAGTTTGTATTTTTCCTGAATTTTTTCAAAGGAAATAAAGGTACCATCTTGAAACAGATCGCTTACTGTGTGAATTCCTGCATCTCTCCATTGCTGAAAACCTTTATCTAGTATGAAGGTATAAAAGAGGGGTTGTCAGCTATGGGAATTAGTAAAGGGAACGTCTCCACCCCAAAATGAGTTCTAATTTGTTTCCAAATACGAAGAACACTACTAATGACAGGGCTGCTTCTGTAGATTTCTTTTTTACAGCTTGTTGGTGAAAGAATCACAGCACCAAGATTGTATGGGGTACATTCATCTGGTTCTAATCGGAGCCCATTAATCATTTCATCAGAGCGGATGGTTTCCGCTAGAGGCTCAATGGCCAGGGCAAAAAGAAGGGGAGAAAGTGGGCAACCTTGTAGGGTACCCCTAAATAAAGCAAAAGATGGTGATAAATTCTATTTGTGAGTATACGTGCCCTAGGGTTTTTATATAGAATTTTGAGCCAAGTGATGAATTTCTCTCCTACTTGGAATTTCTGTAGCTAAGTCCCGGATTTTGATTTGATTCAATGGATTGTACGGTCACTTTCCAGCTTTCGTAGCTGTCTAGATAATAGTTTGTGTGGCTTATACTTTTCAGATATAATCTGATTGTATTGGTATCTAAGATTTAATATTTTCTTGTGCAGTTCTAAAGAAGGTTTTGTAGCATTCTCGTTGTCTAATTTACTAAGCTGTCTTTCTAATGATTGTAAAGCCGCTGTATTTTGTTTATTTTTTGCACCCTTAAAAGAGATAAAACAGCCCCGTAAATATGCTTTAAAGGTATCCCATAAAAGAGAAGATGAAGTGTTCGGTTGATCGTTAGTTTAAAAAAATAACTCTAGCTGTATACGCAAGTACTCAAAGAATTTTGTGTCCTTTAATAAATAGGGGTCTGCCCGCCACAATGGTTGAATTGTTGCAATTTCTGATCATTTTAGTGCAAATGAATTGGACTATGGTCTGAGATTAAAATAATATGATAGGTGGCATTGAACATAAAGGGAATTAACTTCACATCAACTAGAAAGTAGTCGATACGAGTATAAACGTTGTGGACCCGTGAATGAAAGGAGTAATCTCTCCCCGTTGGATTGGCTAGCTTCCATACATCACCAACATTAGAATTTTTAATGTACATGTTAAGAAAGTCCCTGGATTTAGAGGAGGGAGCACGCTGAGCAGAGGATCTGTCTAAATATGGGTCCAGGACACAGTTAAAATCCCCCCCTATAATTAAATTAGTAAGTGATATATCAGGAATCCGGGAAAACACATTTTGAAAAAAGTGTGGATCATCAAAATTCGGTCCATAAATGTTAACTAATGTTATAGGCGTTGAAAATATTTCTCCAGCAACTATGATGAATCGCCCCTCTTTATCTGCAATCGTAGCTCTATGTTTAAATGGAACCCCTTTTCTTATTAAAACAGCGGTACCCAGAGCCTTGAAAATGAAGAGTAAAAAAACTGACCTATCCACTTGGCTCTTAGCTTGGAATGAGAGTCATTTTTAAAGTGTTTCTTGTGAGAATATGATATCAGTGTTCATAAATTTGAGATGAGACAACACGTTACTTCGTTTAACAGGATGGTTTAGACCTTTAACGTTCCAATACGAAAAAGTCAATGCTCCCACCCCTCTGTCAGGTGTCTTACTCTGAGCAGCAGCCATCCCAGTTATTGCGTTGGTTACCTCCCCTCACCGCAGAACGCACCCACAGACAGTACCCCATTAGACATCCCTTCCCACGATCCTTTATCACAACAGAATTAAAATGAGAAAACAGAACAGAAACGTACATGAGAACACAGGCTTGCTTAAACATCAAATCAGAATTTTATCAAGAAACAGTAAACTTGACTGTAAAAAACAGTCCACCTGGTGTTAGCTGACTAGCAGGAGCTCAGTGGACAGTTCCTATTGATGTAATGGATGTCTTTATCAAGAAACAGTAAACTTGACTGTAAAAAACAGCCCACCTGGTGTTAGCTGACTAACAGGAGCTCAGTGGACAGTTCCTATTGATGTAATGGATGTCTTTATCAAGAAACAGTAAACTTGACTGTAAAAAACAGCCCACCTGGTGTTAGCTGACTAGCAGGAGCTCAGTGAACAGTTCCTATTGATGTAATGGATGTCCATCTGCACACACAGGCAGCTCAGTCTTTACTAATTCGAGCTGCGAAGCGTATAAACCTTCCATATAATACAAATCACGTCGAGAGGAAAAAATTATAACAATTTGGCGCATAATTATAATTGTCTGATCAGCGCTCCAACCCATTCTAGCCGGTTTATAAAGTTCCATAAGGAGATTATGATGTCGACACATTCCCCTCACCAAAGTGCTGCTCTGCGAATGTGATCACCTTTACCGGATCCGTGAAGTATATTTCTTCTCCGTTGTGTGTGACCCGTAACTTCGCTGGGTACAGAAATCCGAAGCGGACCCCTGGACGATCTCGAAGTAGGTCTTTAGCTCTGTTAAAACGGGCATGCTGTTTCAGTGTGGCAGCTGGGAGATCAGGGAATATCAGAAGTTTCTCTCCGTTGTAGATGATGGACTTGAGCTGAGCCGCTTTTTGGATGATGTCCTGCCAATCGTTAAAGTAGTGCATCTTAACAATGAAGGCCCGGGGATATGACGTGTTGTCGGAGCGTTTTCTCAAAGATCTGTGAGTGCGGTCGATAAAAGGTAAAGTTTCCAAAGAGAGTGCGTTCTTCAGCAGGTGTGCAATAAAGTCCGTGGTCTTGCGTCCAGTCTCCTCGCCCTCTTTAATATTTAGAATGCACAGGTTTTGCCTTCTACTGCGACTTTCCAGGTCCGTACATTTCTCAGTGAGCTGTGAGACACTGCTTGTTAGCTTTATATGACGTGTTGTCGGAGCGTTTTCTCAAAGATCTGTGAGCGCGGTCGATAAAAGGTAAAGTTTCCAAAGAGAGCGCGTTCTTCAGCAGGTGTGCAATAAAGTCCGTGGTCTTGCGTCCAGTCTCCTCGCCCTCTTTAATATTTAGAATGCACAGGTTTTGCCTTCTACTGCGACTTTCCAGGTCCGTACATTTCTCAGTGAGCTGTGAGACACTGCTTGTTAGCTTTTCAACATCCTTTTGTAGCTGGGAGACCGTATCCGAAGTAAAAATTGCGCTACGTTCGAGCTCCGCCATTGTTTTAGCTTGGTCGTCCATCGTGCTTTTCATGGCCGAGGTAGTGACATCAGTCTCTTTTTTGAGAGCAGTTAATTCTGCTCTAATGGAGGTCAAGAACTGGTCTAGTCTCTTGTCCATAGCCTCAACTATCTCCGAATTAACTGAAAGTTTGATTGGAGAGCAGCTATCCCCTCTAGCACTGCCTTGTTAGCCACGGTGCTAGCCTCGCCGCCACAGTCATCTTGAATGTCTCTCGGGGTTTCGGTCGTTTGTTTGGTCATTGTTGTTTGAGTGACATGAGAATCCGAATGAATGAGTACAATCAAAATAGGAGTTAAATAGAATAAACAAATGCCTAGAAATTATTATTCAAATGACCAATGATCAATTGACAACATAAATTCGAGGTCATAATAAAATTGATTTAGATTAGAGTTTAACTGAAATTAAATTACTTTGCACACCAAAAAGACAGAACGCAGAGGAAACCTTCAGCCACCATTGCATACCTTCGTTGGGCCAACTGGGTGGACCTTACACGTTCATTTAAATCATTAATAATTCAAAGATAAATCAAAACAAAATTAAATCACATGCATTTGAAAATTCACCCCTTCACCAGTTTTTGTACGTGTTAACCAAAGAAGAATAAAATGAATTTAAAAAAGAGAGACTTTGATGAATCCTCATCCAGCTGACTCTCTCCAGCGTACTCCTGGGTATCAGTTTGTAGATCAGTTCCAAAACAAAGGCCTTAAAAAGATAGACTGTCATCAGAGAAAGACCTTCTGTCTCATGATTTAAATAGCAGATTGTTTTCATATTTCTAACACGAACAGGATATAATATGACCGAATACATGCAAATAAAAAAATTCCATACACGTATAGAAAATTGTACATTTAAAGCAACAAAATGTTTGTTGTTATATTACTATATATATTACTAAAATGCCCTAGTACCTTCGCAATGGTTCAACAAAAAAGCCCTGTTTGTTCAGATGAATCTTCACCTGCTGGTTGCAGCTAAGCTCTGCAAGCTTATACAATGGCAAACCGTCTGTGTCTGTGCACTGTTTAGATGATTTATTGCATCTGAACCTTTGTAACAAACCATGCAAACACAAAGTAACTAGAGAATTCTTCAACACAAGTTACAATTTCAGTCATGCTGCTACAACATAATTGATTTTAGCAATATTAAATATTATAGTGTTTTGGTCAATGGCTTCCATTTTTGTCCCACTTAATTAGGATCAGAGATTTAAAATGAGAAATGTGTTTTGATTAAAAAATACAAACCCTTGAAAACTCAGTGTGCAGTTGGGCCTTGGGCGTGACTTCTTCAAGACACTTTCTGCTTCCTCCTGTAACCATTCAGCTTTTAAGCTGCAGTATAAATACAACATTTTGGTATGGCATTTGACTTAGTTTTGATTTATTTGAACACTTCTATCACTACAATGGTGTAAATGAGGGCAAATGTACAGCTGAAAGTATTTTTTAAAGGCAAAATCTAGTCTCAGCATCGGACACTCAATAGACTGGGATCAATCTTGGATTACATGAAGAAACATACAGCAATTGAGACTTAAGACTAAATCCACAGAATAACACTTGCCGTGAACTTTCTCTTACCTGATTTCTCTTAGACTGGGACAGTCCCAGGTGAAGGAAAGGATTGAATTAGCCCAGGCCTTTGTCAGGCTGCTCATATTCAGATCCAACTTCCATACAGACAAAGAATGTAGAAGAAACAGTAGTATATTTTTGCCTGATTTTAGGAGTGTAGAAAATTCTATCCAGTCAACGCTGACGAGGTCTGATCGTGGAAAAGACAGGCTGAATTGCAGTTCAGATGTTGGTCTTTTGGATACTACAATTCTAAAATTAAATGAAAGACAAATACAGTATAAACTTTAGCCACAGAGACACATCATAAAATCTATATTGTAAAAGGCACTGTGTAAATAAAATTGATTGATTGACTGGTTGCCCTTGTAGCCATGAATATTAATTTTGCTTCAAAAATTCCTAATCAAAAGCTGAGTGTTTTGGTACAATCTTGATCCATTTTTGCAGGTTTTAGATCATGGCGAATGTACATGTCAGATACAGTAGATGTTGCCACTAGAAGCATAGAAGTTTTAGTCAAACTGAGCAATGTGTAAAGAAACATGGTAATTGAACTGGTTAATATAACTGGTAAATAAAAAATTATGATAATGAATCCGTTTAAGGTACATGCTTGGTAAATGTTTTGCTTCACCTGGACAGTTCTTCACTGATTTCCAGATAAAAGTTTTCAACAGAAACATCCCAATCGATGGTAACACTGCAAATAAAAGCATAAAAGACTGAATGAATGGTAATTACCTCATTTTTTTTTTGTCCTCATTATCTTAAAAACATTACCTCTGTGAGCTCAGGGTCTGTTCTCTCATGAAAACATTCATCATGCCTCCCAAATCAGAATCCGATAATTTGTAGAAACTTTGAGCAAGCCTACAATAAAATAAAATAAAAAACTCCAAAACATCACTGTACAAATCTAACACCAAGAATCCAAAATAATTATTTGATAAGTAAATAATCATTTAAAATAATGAAGTACATAATAATATAGTTAATTATTAAGTAAAAACTGCAAATCCTGACAAACATGATCTCAAAAAACTTCAAAATGATACATTTTGATGTACATTTCATAAAACAGGCTGAGAAATGTAGCTTTATCTTGAAATTAAGACAGGGTCACTGTCATTTCCTGAAGTTTGCACAGCATTGTTTGCTCTCCACAGTTTGGTTGCTTGGAGATACTGTATGTTTGTTGGCAATGAGCAACTTCAAGGCTAACAGTTGCATTGCCATGTTGTTTCCTTCAGGATTGTGCATCATTCAGATTTGAACGGAGCACTGTGTTCTAATTCAATTCCTATAAATTTGAATTTAGGCATAAACTGCATAATTGCAGTTTAAATTTAAACGTAGGAAATTAGAAGTTTTAGGATAGGCCTACAGTTGGAATGTTAAACTGTTAAAAAGGAAAACAGACAGAGTAACAGGAGACACACTTACTTTACTGAGAGAGCTTTGTAGAGTACAGGCTGAATGATAGTTAGCTCTTCGGATGTTAATTCACAGAGAGAGATAAACAGTTCTTTAATACACTGGCAGCACTGAGCACAGTACACCAAGGCCCAACAGTCTATTTTTCTTAGAACTACACAGTATATAAAAACACATGGCCAGGCTTCTGTAACTTCTTTCACAAAGTTTGCTTCATGGAGCTCGTACAGACAGTGGAAAAAAAACAAAGTCCTCTCAGAAGCAGCACTGGACATCTCTTCAAAGATCCATTTCTTCAGATGGTCTTGTATGTTTGAATGAACTAACAAACCATGTCTCTTCCAAAGTGTGCGTCTTACGTCCTCATTCAACAGACCAAAAATGAAGTGCACTACGGCTGCAAAACGTGGTGCTGAATATTCTTCATTGACTGTTGTCTTATGAATGGAAACCATTTGCATGAGTTTCTTTTTTGACTCGTATTCATCAAGCATGAGATAGTACAGAGCAGTGAAGAACTCCTGAAAGCTGAGATGCATGAAACTGAACATTGTCTCCTGGTGGATTCTTTTCTTAAAAAGGAACTTGCACAAGAACGGACTGCCAGCAGGGTCAGAAACCATTTCATACACGGTCTTCTCATCAAACAGGACTTGCTGTGCCAATATCCCTTTCTCTGCCAGCTGACCCAGACTCTTCACCAGGGTGGGAACGGACTGACCCGAACCCTGGCTGTGATGCTCTAGAAGAGTGCACAGGAAGTCAACATATATGGACGTGGTCGTCTCCAGTCCACTCATTACATCTGCACCATCGTTAAGCCTCTCTCGGATAACTGTGCAGATGATCCAACAGATGACAGGGATGGAGCAGGCTGTGAGGAGAGTTTCATTTGCTCTCACATACTCGTACCCTTTCCTGAATAGTCTGTCATTCTGGAAGAACTTTTTGAAATACTCCTCCACCCCCTTCTCAGAGAAGCCAATAATCTCAGTGAAACTGCGAGGTTGCTTCAGAACGTTCTTCAGGATGTCAATAGCTGTAGATCTGGTGGTGACCAGAAGGCATGACTCTCGCAGAATGCGTCCCCTTAACAGGGCGCAGAGAGTGACCTCAGGAGGGGCTCTCTGATACTGATCTGTGGGTGGCAACATGCGATAAATGTCATCGGTGTATTTAAGTTCATCGAATCCATCGACGAGGAAGAGCACACGCTCTGGTGACCGCTGCAGTATGGTGGATATCTCATCTGATGTTAAAAAGCTATTGTAGCTCAGGAGCTCCACCAAACTCATTCTGCTAGAAATGTGGCTAATTTCCTTACACTTTACATGGAAAACAACATCAAATTTAGTTCTGAAGAGATCACATGCCCAATCCATCATCATTTTCTGCACAGTGAAGGATTTTCCATTCCCAGAGTTTCCCTGCAATATAACCGCACTAGGATTGATTCTACGGCTATCTGGGTTGAACAGAGTGTCCAGACTGATGGATTCTTGAGAGCTTCTGGAATCGCGGACCTGCTGGAAAGTCTCTCCTCTGGCAGAGATCTCTTCTTCTAGCTCCTTCTGAGCTCTCGGTTTCAGAACAATCAGAGGTTGTATGTAGCGATCAGACAGCAGCACATGCTCACCGGGCAGAGAGTTATACTCTGTCACATACTGGTACTCATTGCGTATCAGCTCCTTATATTTGAGAAGTACTGATCTCCTTTCTGCAGAAATAAAATGTCCAAAAGATTAGCATGTTCACAATAATAGAATGATTTTGTAATCCTGTTTCTGTTTCTGTACCAAATAATGAAGTTCTTCAGAATTTACTGGCACAATATATGGTCAAAAGCATGTGGACACCATCACGTTCTCCTACATATACACTCTTAAAAATAACGGTGCTTCAAAAGGTTCTTCAAGCGATGCCATAAAAGAACCCTTTTTGGTTCCACAAAGAACCATTCAGTCAAAGGTTCTTTAAAGAACCATCTGTTTCTTACCTTTTTATAATCTGAAGAACCTTCTTTTGCCATAAAGAACCTTTTGTGAAACAGAAAGGTTCTTCAGATGTTAAAGGTTCTTTAAGGAACCATTTAGACAAAAAGGTTCTTCTATGGCATCGTGAAGCACCTTTATTTTTAAGAGTGTAGGGGACAGTGATTCAAAAGAGTGGGAGCTGTTAGGGAGAACCAACTACCTAACAACGGCCATGGTTTTGAAATTAAATGCTCAACAAGCACATGCACAATAAGTGCTGTGTTCCATAAACTTCTG